ACAAAATAAAGCTTTCCTCAGGATTATCTCCTGTGCATGAAATTACCAGGTTGAAGGTTTGCTTGTTTTCAAGGTTTTGCTGACTATCATGTAATTGCTCCATGAAAAGTTTGCACCAATTTATAGTCTTACAAGAATGATGATTCAGATTCTCTTTCCCTGCACTTTTACCAACAGTGGATATTACCTCTCTCTTTAAAAAGACAAAAAACAAAACAAAAAACCCCCAAAACCTAGTGGATGAAAACAATTTTGTTTTTACTACTGAGGTTGAATATATTGTTAAGTATAGTGGGTACTTTTCTAAAATGTGTACTCTCACTTATTGCTCATTTTTTTCATTGTTGATCTTTTCCCTATTGATTTAGGCATGATGTAGATATTAATGTTTTTTCTATTATGTATAATCTCTAAATGTTTTTCTCTAATTTCCCTTTAAGACAAGAATCCCCTCAGATCTTATGGGTTTATATGACTTCTCTTAATGCACAAAGGTTATGTGTTTTTTAGTTGCCAAATCTGTTCTCTTTTTTAAATTTTTTAAAAATTTCTCACACTGGTATCATCAGATTCATTATTTTAAAGAATAACAAAGTTTAAATACCTTCAGACAGGGAGTGTCAGTTGCCATTCAGGTAGAATCCAGACCCCTCAGTCTATCCTACACCATGTTCTATTCTCACCAAAGCAGGTCAGCTCGATCTCCCACAGCTTCCAAATGCGCTCTGTTCCTGACAGTTTGGCTTCTGGTTTATGAAGCGCATGGGCTCTGGGGTCGACAGACCTGAGTTGAGATTCTGACTCAACCACTGACCAACAGAAGAGCTTTTTGAGCCTCAGCTTCTTTATAATTAAGTTGAGACAGGATTAATGTGAGATTAAATTATGTGTAATGAATAGTGACTGACATGTAATTGGCACCTAATAAATATCTCCAGCGATGCTTCCATGTTTTTGCTCATGTTGGGAAATCTCTTAGGAATACCCTACTTTTTTTTCTTTTCCAGCTCATAATACCTCCTCTTCTGGCCAAGTTCTATTAAGTCTCCTTCATAAAGGCTTTCACAGAATAGGGAGTTTACCATGTATCTTACTCAGCTTGGGTGTCCTGTTATTATTTCAATGTTTCAAATGTAGTTCATCAGCCAGGTTATAAGCTTCAGGAAGATCTAGCCCAGTGTGTGACACTTAAATGCATCCAGTAAGCTTTTGTGGAAAAAATAAATAAGTGAATAAAGAATGCATTAGCTATAACTGCAAAGTAATAATATGAGTTAAATTGCACTCACATATTAGCCTAATTATTAAGTCAGACACATAATTGGTGATAAATGCAAATCTGTTTAATAAATATAGCAAAAAAATAACTCAGCCTCTGGTATACTGCATTATACCATTGAATATTTTAATAGTTCAATATATCATTGGGAACAATGGGTAAAGATAATCAAAAGGTGCAAACTTAAAGTTCTAAGATAAATAAGTTAGGGGATGTAAATTATGGTATTGTGATTATAGTTAACATACTGTATAGTATATTTGAAAGTTGCTAAGACAAAAAGTTCTCATCACAGGAAATGTAATTTATAACTATAAAACAGATGGTAAACTTATTGTGGTAATTATTTTGCAACATATGTATATGTATATCAAACCATTGTTATAAACCTTAAACTAATACAATGTTATATGTCAATTACATCTAAAAAAACTGAAAAAAATTACAATTTTTAAAAATTAAAAATAAGAAATACATACCATTGGAATATACCAGTGGAATACTGTATGTCATTCATAACAGTTTAATATACTGTTTTTCTTCAGTTCTAAGAAACACTTTGATACACATTTTAACGTCTCTGAAACTGGGATATGTCTTATTATCAAAGAAATAGCCCTTGGCCAGGTAGCAGTCACGACATAGCTGGCATTGCCTCTGTATTTGTGAATGTGGTCATAACTGTTTGAATTCTCATCATTTCAACGAGATCAAAGCAATTTAGTACTTTCCGTGTAAAATTCATATGCCAAGAAATGCAATCAAAGGCAGCTGAAATGGCCAGAGTACATATCAGGTGAAAGAAATTCTAAAGCAAGAAGAGTCTGATATAACTAATTCATGTGTCATACAGGACTGTAGTTAAAGTGTTGAACTTCAATTTGTCTGAAACTTTTTCCTGGCCATTAATAGAAAAGTTGTATAGCTGGTTCAGTTGAACAAGAAAACTATGCTTTTAGTCAAACAAGATAGTCAGCATCAAACTTGCAGACTGAGTGTCAGTGGCTGGGAAGCGAACCTCTGGGACAAGACTAGAACACTCTTTTAGGAAATGCTACCCTGGCTGGTATGGCTATGTGGATTGAGCTGGCCTATAAACTGAAAGGTTGCTAGTTCTGGTTCCACTACCCATCAGGGCATGTGCCTGGGTTGTAGGTCAGGTCCCCAACTGTGTGCGAGAGGCAATCACACATTGATGTTTCTCTTCCTTTCTTTCTCTCTCCCTTTTCTTCTCTCTCTTTAAAAAACAAAACAAAACAAAAACTCTACACTATTATTGACAGTGTGTGGAAAAATATACAGATGTTCTGGGTAAAAGGGATTAAGATGAATTAGACTCAGTGTACATATTTTTGAGAAATATTTTAATCAATTTATGTTGTTTATATTTTTTCTATATATGCAATTAGTGAAAAATCAATGTCTAAGTCTAAAAACACTATTTCAATGAGTGTAAAGCACAAATCCTATGTGATCACACATAGTTTAATTTGCCGCACTTTTCCTTTTTTGGTGGTACATACCATCAAAGATGTCTTAGATTTCAACGGAAATGATAAATTGAACAGAGGTTAAAATAGGCAAAATGTCTGTGAATTTCCAAGTCACCCTTGGTGAAGGAACAGAGCTTGGTGTTCTGTTGTTGTTGTTTTAGCGGGCATTTATGATGCTTAGGAATGAGGTAGGAAAAAACTGTGATTTCTTCATAATCATCACCTGCTTGTAGAACCAAAATAATTTGAGGAGAAGGTATCTTCTCATGTCACCATGCACAGCTTCTTATCATGTCCCAGATTTTTGCATTCTGCATTAAGTAACATTTCATTTGGCATTAGTGAAGCATATTTTAACTTAAATTTATTGCATTTTTCCACTATACAAATAAAATGTGTTAGTATGGAAAATGTCCTATATTAAAAATGGGATATGTGTGAGTATGTACTCAACCATATTTCTTCCAAATAAAATATTTGGTAATTTTTTTTCTAGAATTTGTTCCTTATAAAATTTCTGATGCCATTTCTTCTAGTGTACAAAACTATCTCAGGTCAGAGTACTATATATTCAATGTACAGCATTTGATAAGTGCAAAAAAGGTTAAAGAAGCATGAAAAACATCATGCTTCTTATCAGCACCCAGAGATCCCCTCTTGATATTTCTGGCCGTTACATTCAATGTCTCTAGGGCAAAAACAAGCGGCCGAACTCGCACACCGTGGATGCTCACTATGTCCCTGCTGGATGCATGAATGCTGAAAGAGAACTTGGAGAAATGCCCATATGCCTTGCTAACAGAATCAATTATACAGCTCTAATGGTCTAAAAATCATTTGTCTTTTCTAGTTCGCTCTATTCTTCTCACATAGCAGGAGCTTGGCCAGGACACAACCAATTTTCTACTATTTGGCCACAGAGCACTCTGGCAGGGATGGTCACTGTCCTTACTTACTTCTCATTCATTCATTCAACACATATTTATTAAATGTCCACTATGTGCCTGGAATACAAAGGAGCAATACATAAGCATGACCCCTGCCCTCTTGCAGCATACAATCTAAAGAAGACAAAACAGATAAACATAAACACAAAAAATATATATGTATACATACGAGGGTGGGCAAAAGTAGGTTTATAATTATGAGTAAACACAAAAGAGTTTATTCTTGTATTTTTATTTATTACTGTATTATTTGTGTTACAACTGTAAACCTACTGTTGTCTACCCCTGTATACACAAAGTGCAGAAGAGGAAGGGAAGAGGTGGCTGGAAAAATAAATAAGAGGGGCCGTGATCTGATTCAGGAGGGGTCAGGGAAGGCCTCTGATGGAGTGACAAGACAGGTCAAAGAGGAACAAAAGGGAAGATTCTCTGAGGCTGTAAAACTTTAAGTGGGTGTAGACAAGATTAGTGAAAGAAGTGATGGGGAAAAGACTGGGCTGCAGAGGTGGGCATGTCGTGCAGGGCCTCGTATAGGGAGAGGATTTCGAATTTTATTGTATGTATGCTTGGAAACCAATAATTTTTTTCATAATTTAAATTGCGTTTATTTTAAATAGGTCACATCTACTATTCAAAGCATACGAGATCCAAAGATTATTGAATGAAAACTCTCCCTCCTTCTGGTTTGCTAGCCACCCAATTCTCCTCTCCGAGGCTACCTGTGTATGCCTTCAGAAATAAGCTAGGCACAAACAAGCGAATCTATGAGTATATACTGTAAGATACAGTGCGTATTTTAAGCAAAGGAGGGAGGTCATCGGGTTTAAGATCGCCGGAATGCTGAAAGGGGACTGGCTCCCGGTGTTCAGAGCTACGCGCTCTAGCACACCCATTTCACCAACCCCATTCTGACTCCTCGCATTCTCCGTTTCTGCACGGGAGATTCCATGGGGCCCAGGGCCTCGTAAATTGCGTCTCAGCAACGATCCCACGCTCGTTCCCACGCTGTGCTCCGGGCAACCACCCGGCGCTCCCGCAGTTCTCCTGCCGCCGCTGCAGTCTCCAGCCACATATCCCCTCCTAGAACTCCGTAGCTGGGCACCCGACCTCGGTATTCTAGTCTTTTTCAGACACCCGGCAGGATCAAAAGCGTGCCGCTGCCGGAAGGCAGTGGCAGGCGGCTGGACGGGAAAGGGGCGTGCCTGGGAGGGGCCAAGACAGGGGCGGGGACCAAGGCTAGGGGCGGGGCCAGGGTTATGGGCGGAGCCGGCGCCGCTGTCGGCTGCGGAGCTTTCCAGAGCTCCTGGAGCGGCCCCTCGGTGCGGTACTCGGGCCACCCACAGGCCGCTGGGCCCTCCGCGGCCACCACTTCTGCAAAGCCCCTAAGGTAAATCCGCCTAGGATCCAGGCAGTTTGAGCGCGAGGGAACCATCGACAGAGGCGGGCGGCTGGATGGCGGCGGAGGGGAGCGTCCCGCGGCGAGTTTCCCAAGAAAGCTGAACTTGCCCCAAGTTTCTTGTGCATCAGTTTGTACCCGGCGAATAGGTGGCGGACTTTTACCGTGCGGGTGGTCTTTGGGCGCGGGAGAGAAAAAAAAGGTAATTGGATTAATCCGTTTGGGCACAGCCCAGATTTGTGTCTCGGACTGAGCAGCGTGGTGGGCGCAGTTTTTGCCCGAGAAAGAGCGGGTGAGTGACACGCAGTTGTGTTCCTCGCAGGAGCGAGTGACCGTCCGCTCTGAGCGAGCGCGTCTGCAAAGCGTGCCGGGTGGTCTGGAGTCAAAGTTCCATGACTTCTTTCCTCTTTAGGCAAGCCTAACTAGGTGCTGTCCCTCGCAGGGTTCACCCTCGAGGCTTCGCTATGGACGGCGAGAGCGAAGTGAATTTTTCTAGCAACAGTTTAACCCCTTTGTGGCGGAGGCGTTCGACCCCGCAGCCTCAGTTGCTGGGCCGGAGCAAGCCGAGACCTCAGTCTTACCAGAGCCCCAGCGGGTTGCTTATCACAGATTTCCCGGTGGAGGACCTAGGAACGCTTCCCGCGGCGCAGACTCCGGACCAGGTGCCCACCGCTTCGGACGGCAGGACGGTCCAGAGGAGCCCCCTGCTTTTCTGCGCCCATCGGAGGGCGGTGACCAATGGGAGGACGGTCTCCCCGGAGTACAGGGCCGTCTCTCCTCGGCTCCGACGGCCCAAGTCACCCCAGACCCCCAAAGGGGCGTCGGGCGTCTCCCCGAAATCCCCAGCGAATGGTACGGTGACTTCGCCCGCGCCTCAGCGGCTGCGCCCCCCGCGGACTCCTAACGCATCCGCCCCCTGCAGCTCGGAGGGAGACCGGCTCAGATTGATTGCCAGCCCCCTGCCTTCGCCCGCTGCAAATGGGCTTACCCCTAATATCGACACCCCAGGCTCCCGTTTGCAATCCGGCCAGACAGCCAAGGACTCCGAGCGGGGATCCTCGCCCCAGAATAAGTCTTCGGAACAAAAACTCCCCCTCCAAAGGCTGCCCTCAAAGGAGAATGAGCTCCCGGAGAATCCTTCAGTGGTTTTGAGCACAAACAGCCCTGCTGCCCTCAAAATGGGGAAGCAGCAGATTATTCCGAAGAGCCTGGCCTCGGAAATTAAAATAAGTAAAGGTAACAGTCAGAATGTGGAGCCCCACAAGAGACTCCTCAAGGTGCGCAGTATGGTGGAGGGCCTCGGAGCGCCCCTGGGCCCCTCAGAGGACGAAGGCGAGGTCGAGAACGACCTGGACAGCCCTGGGTCTCTGCGGAGGGGCTTGAGGTCCACGTCCTATCGCAGGGCGGTGGTCAGTGGCGTTGATTTTGACAGTCCTACCACCTCGAAGAAGAAGAACAGAATGTCCCAGCCGGTTCTGAAAGCAGTGATGGAAGACAAGGAGAAGTTTTCCAGCCTTGGAAGGATAAAGGTAAGAGTGGTCAGGAGTGTCACATGTCACTGACTAAGCCAGGCATTCAGTAAGTCCAAAGTGAAGGTGTTGGGGTGGAGAGGAAGAGCACAGAGGAGACCAGACGTTATTGTTCTTTTTAATTCTGTTGTTTGTTGACCAAGCCTGTGCACATCTATCTCTTGGCCATTCTGTTGCAGGCAGGTACAGCCCAGGTTAAGGCAGCTTTGTGGGAGGAAGTAAAATCCTTATCGCTGTGCTAACTTTCTAAGCTCAGGCAAAATCTGGGAACAAATGGAAAAAAAAAAATACAGCAAATTAGGTTTGGCTGCGTGAGTCCTGAACACTTTCAATACTGGTAAGCTGCTAACGAAGTGGAGAGCAGGTCTCGATTTGCACTCTTGACTCAAGTCAAGCCGTCTGGTGCTTGTTCGGAGGTGTCAGTCAGTGGTTGCTGATTCATCACAGCTGATTAGGGAAGATACTGATATTCTTTGAGCCTATTGATTATTTTAACTATTTACATTAATTATTTAATTTCTTTGAGTAGTGATCAATCACACACTAAATACTAAAGGTAATATGTGATTTTAAAATTAGATGCCAGAATAGCAAAAGACACAAAAGGCACAAATAGTCTGTCATCTTTGTTGTTACTTGTTTCTGTCAACTTGGCCTTTGGTTCTATTTTATTTCCATTTTGTGACTCTTTATCCTTTAGTTTATTTAACAAGTTGGTAGCTCAAGACTTCAGGTTCCAGCGAACTGTGTGTTATTGCTCCCTCATAAAGGCCTAAAAGCTGCAACTGGTAGAATATTGCCAAATATGACATAAAGAACTAGGGAAAACTAGAGAAGGGTTTTTTGGAGTGTGCATGTGCTGCCTTCTCCAGAAACACGACAGATCTCAGTAATAGAGCAGAAATTCATTTTGGCAGCCACATCTTTTCTTGATTAATCAGAGAACTGGAATCAGTCTATATAAATGTCACATATGTAATACACAAGCAAGCATTTCTTTTTTAGATCCTATTGCCTTAGAGGAATTACATAACATTTTATGTTTCCCCACACCACCCCCCGCCCCCAACTCTGCAAGTATAGCGAAGTTCAATCTAACAGTGATGGTGAATCACGAGTAGTGGAATGAACTGAACCTGCCGGTCATTTGAGGATTCTCAAACCATTTTGACAGGGTGTGGGGGACATTATACGTTTTATTTCACTGTGTTAGTGAAGTGTAGCACTCATATTAGTGAACCACCCCAGGGATCATCTGCTGTATGCTTTGGGAAATCTAATGAATGTAACAACAAAATAAGTACTTTTTCTTAAAATAGTTGTATTTTCTCTTTGGCACATTCATACATAGTTTGCTTTGCCTTTTCCTTTTTTGCTTTTCTTCTCTCTTAGAAAAAAATGCTGAAAGGACAAGGACCATTTGATGGGGAAGGTAAGTAAGCATTTGATTTTCCAGACTTTTATTGCTTTTTCAATGTGGAATATCAATTATAAGTTGCAATCCAATTGCAGTAACAAAAACACTTAAGATGGGAAAAGTGTCCAACTTCTCAAAATTGTACAGGGCTCTTCACCAAGCTAAATTTTCATGTAGTAATACCAGCAGTGAATAAGTATAATAGCTTTCTTTGTAAGCTGATAATTCTGTCAGCCAATGCCTTGGGATTTTTAATTCTTTTCCACTCTGGCTCCATCCCCACCCCTCTCAAACATGGAGAAAGAGTAAGGACAAGCTCTAGCTCTGTAGTTAAAAATTCCGAGTTTGGCCATTTCCATTTTAAGTCTTTTTTTTTTCTTTGCTTCGGTCCTATTTCCTTTGACTTAATACTCTTTCCCCCATTTTAATATCAGTTTTGACTTCCTGTTTCCTTATCAAGTTTCAGTTTGGGGGGTATCTAACTCTCCTGGCCAAAAGAAACATATTCCTAAGAATTTGTAACCCATGTAGTATTTTTATTAAGGGTCTCAAAAACAAAAGCAGCTTCAGCCAGGTGTTCAAATGCTAATCAGATTAGTGGGCTTTGTGTAAATAGGTGGGTCAAATGTCAGCCCACTGGGAAAGCATGAAGGGAGCAGCAGCCCTGGCTCTGGCTGCAACCCTTGTAGGGCTGGTGGAACATCCTAGACGTGAGGGTTTGAGATGCTTAGGTTTTCCAACTTTTAAAGAATAATGAGGAAAGGTATAAGTAATATACCCTCAATGAGTAATCTAATGTAAAGCCATCCAGAGTTATAAAACATATAACCTTGGTGATTATACATCATTTCCCTATATAAAAATCATTCCCATTGGGGCATTTAACCGTGACTGGTTTATAACATTTATTCATTGCACCAATCTGAGAACACTTTCTGTATGGAGAAGAAACCCAGATGCAGTTTGTAATTGGTTGGGATAAAGTCACCTCCCTGATTTTACAGTTGAGGAGGCTGGAAGCTCTGAGAGGTTTAGTACCCTGTCTACTGTCACAATGTGGCCAATGCTGGCACGGAGGTCTGGTTCTCAGTCCAGTTTGCTTCCTCCTGTACTGACTATGACATGATCAGAGCATCTATCTAATATCTATTTAGAGAGATTTTGCATCTTCTGGAATTTGACATTGACTCTGGGACTTTTGCCTCAAAGGATTAAAAACGTTGAGCTTTTAAGTCAGAGGACAGGTCACTCCCATAGTAGATCACACCCTTTGTTATAACAAGTTTTACATTGCTTCTTTTTTATAAGGAGCTGTTTCTGTGCACCCTCTCTTCTCTTTTCAAATATGATGACCTAGAAATTCTTTTTCACATATACGTACGTGAGGAATGCAGGATTCTTACGGTTAATGATAAACAAGAATGTAACTTGGGAAGGGGTGCCATGGAGTGGTGAGAACCCGTGAAGTTGGAGCCAGGGACCTGGGTTCCTATTCTACCGCTTCATTCGTCATTTGACTGATAGTGAGCAAGCATCTTAACCTCACCAAGGCTTGACTCTGTCTTGTGTAAGATGAAGTTAATACTACTACCACTGCCAACGCTGTGAGAAGTGAGTGAGAAATCATTTCAACAATGTATGCATATGTTTTGTGCCAACCACTAACTACTTTAAAAGAGTACTAGAGGTGGGAAAAGCTCAGTCTTTACCCTCGCAATCTGTTTTACGTATGTAGAGCAATCAGAGACCAGTGAAATCTTGCATAGACCTCAGTATTCCTTTATCATAGCCATGTAGAATATGTAGTATTGATGAGAGAAGAGGCAGATGTTTGCGTGTTTCAGTAGATAGAAAGGCATTTCAAACTCAGTGTATTCCAAACCAAACTCCTAACCTTCCCAACTAAAGCTAAATCTCTGCTGTTGTTCCCTTCTCCTAGCTTCTAGTTGTGGGACTTGCAGACCTAGGAAACACCCTGACCACCTCCCTTTCTCCAAGCCCACATTCCAGGCCACGCCCAGTCCTTTCCAAGTTGCATAGCCCAAACTCCGTTAGCTTTCACTGACCACTTCAGTAGCACCCTCATTAGTCCCCTGAGTAGTCAATGTTCTGCTCCTCCAATCTGATCAAATCTTTCAGTGGATTCCCATTGCAATCAGGATAAAATACAATCTTTACAGTGTGACAGAAACTCATTCCTTTTGTATCCTGGATAAAAATTCAGTTAACAGTGCTTGCAAAACTCTGCTTGATTTGGACTGTCTGGCTCATCTCCCGAAACTCACCTTGCACCCTTTGTCCTTGAACATCCACACTGGGCACACTGACCTGCCTTTGTTCATCTAAGTTACCCTATTTCTACTCAGGGCTCTTTGACTATGCCTTTTCCTTTAGCTATGTGCAGCTCAGCTTTCAGCTCTTAGATTTTCCTCACTGACACCTCCCAGACCCCTAGACTAGATCACACCCTGCTGATGGCCTGTTCTCAGAGCACCTGTATATAAATCTTTCAGTGTGTAGGTATGTATTTGTGCAGGATCATTGTGTCTGCAACCCTACAATGACTTGCCTTCTTACCTGGAGCAAGCAAAGTTCTTTCAATGGCATTGTGGCAAGCCCTTATATGATCTGCCCTTGATTCTTCCCCAATCCCCGTCTCCTATACTTTCTCACCTGTCCCTTATTCTTTTCAAGCCACACAGGCCTCCATGTGGACTTGTACATGTGACATACCAAGCAGACTCCTGCCCCAGGGCCTTTGTACTTACTGTTCCATCTGATGAGATGTGCTTTCCCCACTTGTACCTGAGGCTTGCTTCCTCACCTTTTCCAGGTCTTTGTTTAAATGTCACCTCCAAGAGGCCTTCTGAAACTACCCTATTTAAAATCTGCATACCTCCCTTGCAATATTCCCCTCCTTTCCTTTTATTTTTCTCCTTGACACTTATTGGCAGCTGACATGTTTTTAAGTTATTTGTTTAATTTATTGTCACTCTCCTCGCATTCTGATGTCAGCTCCATCAAGATCGAGACTTTAACCTTTTTTATTTATTGCTGTATCCCCAGTGCCTAGCAATTATTGGCTTCTGGTAGGCATTTTCCAAATATCAGTTGAATCAGTAAATGAATGAGTGACTGACTATTTTTCTCATTAAAGTTTTAGCTCATGAGGGCACAAAAAGTGTCTTTTATTTTCCATATCCTCCCAGCCCTCAGCACATTGCAGATGTACAATAAATGTTTGTTAAGCAGATAAATGAATGGTTATGGACTTTGAAGTAAAGGTAGGGTATGGATTCAATTTAACCTGAGAAACAGTTTAACAGCTATGACTGCTCCTTATGGGTGGTGGACAGAGACATGGACACTTTGCTTTCGTTGGCATTTCAGGTATGGGCCCCTCTCCTTCCTCTGTGGATTTTGGGACAGAGCTGTGTGAGTGAGAAAATCACTTTTTGGTAATTGAATACACTTTAATGACGAAATCCATTTGTCTCTTTGTTTATTAAACTGGAGACCAAATATTGTCTCAGTATGGATGTTTGTTTAGAAGAAGAGGTGGCATAATGATGGAATCAGTTAGTGACATATAGGGTTTGTTTTTCTTGCAGAAAATGCTGTCTTGTACCAGAACTACAAAGAAAAGGCCCTTGACATTGACTCTGATGAAGAGTCCGAGCCCAAAGAGCAGAAGTCGGACGAAAAAATCGTGGTTGAGCATAAGCCGCTGCGGTCCACCTGGAGCCAGCTCTCCGCGGTGAGGGTTTCCCTTCTTTTCTTTCTGCAGGGGTGACAACCCCAAGTTGTGAAAATTGTGCCGGAATGTGGTTTTAAATTTTTCTGCCAGTGATCTTACACTTCTAAAGATTAAGGCTCTTCCTCTTTGACTATGAAATGTGTCTTGAAACCCTGCAGGTGCATTGAGAATATGAACTTTGACATGTCTGATTAGGAAAATTAGGTCTTGGTAAAATAAAGTGCCTTAAGACTGTAAACTTGGGAAACTCTTCCTATTTAGTATCTTTTCTTATTTTTTTTTAATATAGTGTATATGTAGCGGTAACTTAATATATTCTGAACTTTGTCATAATTATGGTTATGTATGTATGTATCTCTTTGCACATTAGGGTACTTGTTATAGTCCTTCCTTGGAAGTTTCATTTGATATAGACACATTTGTATTTTCTTGAGGTTGATCAATGAATGGTGCTCTGTTCCATCTTTTTCTGCACATCCTTTGTGTGCAAGTGTCTGACACTTACTTTTGTCTTGATAAGTAATTTCTCCTCTTTGCATCAATCATCTTTTGTTTTTAGCCATAATTTCTTTTCCTCCTCGTAACCAGCGTCACAGTGTGATGCTTCCTTTACTTGCTGTGGGCTTGGGCACAGCATTCGTAGGCATCTGATGCATTACCGAGTAGAAAGGAATTCCCATGACAGGCTTGGGATTGGGAGCAATGCATCAAGAAACAAGCCAGCACACCTCTGTGAGTCCTTAGGTAATATGGAAGCAGAGGCGACTCCCTCTTCATCTACAATGGACATTGTTCAGAGTTAGGAATCTCATGTATTTGGGGAGCCCAGCAGCACAAGGAAAGGGGTTGTACACATTGGAGCCTAGAAGCGGGACCGCGGAGATGGGGCTGTGTTGATGGCGGGATAACTTCCTGTGCAGGCCCTCGCTCCCCTCTTCCACCCTCTGCTGGAAGTCATAGTCCCAGAAACCAAGCCCTTTCTCCTCATCTCTCTCCCACCCCGTAATTTGGTTCTAAGGAGAATCTATTCATTTACAGTGCCTCCAAGGCAAGGCACCCTGAGCATTAAGTCACAGATTAAAATGCCGGCAGACACAGGGCAAATAGTGTGGGGGGGCGGCTAGGGAGCAGTAGGAACTGTGGTGAACAGACCTTGTACAAGCTGAGCGGCTGCCACTAAGCTCCCACCAGTCCAGTGTTGCTAGATCTTCCGATACTTAGAAAAGGGAATATAGAAATCCAGACTTTTATGATCATTATCCTAATTTGAATTTTTTAAAAAATGTGTGAGCCCAACAAAATATTTACAGGCCCAACTCAGCTCCGATGCTAATGGTTTGCAACTGCCGTGATGTTTGCGTGTGCTGAGGTGGTAACACCTGTCCACAGAACTGGCATATTGGTAGCCTTATACCCTAATCTAATGATCTCATGACACGTATACAGCAAAGCAGATACCTAGAAAAACTGGGGACGAGGCCTATAGAGGTCATGTGGGCACTAAACGGCTGTCATTTCATTGTTGGTACGGACCATTTGGCAGTGGGTCCTCAAGAAGACAGCTGTGGATTTTCTTCAGTTCTCCCTCTGTGGCAGCACGTGTGTGTGTTTAGCACTGGCCTAAATCCTGCTGTTTCTCTCTGAACCCTACACAGAAATGTGTCACTTACACTTTGATCCCACTTAGTACTAAAAATTAGGCTGCCCATATTTACGCCTCCCGCAATTTGGTTTCTATTTAGATTAATAAGTGCATATTAAATTAATACTATTTGTCCTTCAGTATAACTTCAAATATGGGCAGACATTTTATTTGGCAAAAGATAAATGGACCAGTGCGCCTTTTGTTAACAAGATTGATATCAAAAGGCTATTGGGTAATAAAATGTAAAGCTACAAAGAGGGTTCTAACTTTATTATGTATCTTGGATTTGAGTGTTCCCAGGACGCTTGTGTGTACAGGTATTTATAGTTTTGCTTGGCAGTTACATTTAATCAAAGTAGTGTGATTGGACTTTGACACCTCGATACTCAGGCACCAGCCTGCGTTTTCTTTGTGCCTTTTGTGTCTCCTTTTCACATTTAAGACATTTTACTTTTATGTTTGTATTATAAAGTATTGCAGACATGCCAAAAAATTAACAAAATATGGACATGTACTACATTTCCAGGTACCCGCCTCCCAGACTGAACAAATGTTCACATGACACGTGCTTACTTCAGGCAGATCTGGTTAATCACCCTCTGCTCCGGTCCTTTCCACCCTTCTGCCTTCCCAGGGGTAACCATTGTCCTCAAGTTCTCTTCTGTTCATCTCACGTGGGTTTTCTATCCACCAAAAAGATGCAAGCAGCTCTGGCTTTTAGGAAAGTAGTTATTTTACCAGCAAAGAGCTGCCATTACTTGTTTAGAAGCCCAGCAGTTGGTTTGTTGAAGTTGCATTTAGGATGCTAAAGACAGGAGGTTTCATGAATTGTAAACAATGTCAAGATGTTTTCCAGAAGGATCGGGACCTCCACTCCTCTGCCTAACCTCATGCCCCAATCCCTCCCTGTAAAGGGGATGGAGTGTTTGCTGCAGGTCTTGGCCAATGTTTGTTTTTGTTTTGTTGTTTTGTTTTGTTTTTTGTACATCTTTGCATCATCTTTCCATGCTTAGCTTTTACTATACCAAATTAGCAGGGTAAGCCCCAATCAATCCCACTAACTCAAAACTTGTCTTCCAGTAAGGCCTTGATCCCAGGAAGAGAGTAGGACAAAGGGTTTTCTGGCAAAGGATCGGGTCTCCAGCTGCCAACTGCCTTGATTTTCTCCTTGGGAGGGATGTGTGTGAGTATTAGCTGCCAATGATTGTTTTATTTTCTAAAAATCTTTTATCTCTGTTGCAAGCACCTGCCTGCCTCTTGGGATGAAGCTTTTCTTTATCAGTTGACTGCAAGAAGAATTCAGGGTGCAAAAGACTTGGCAGGAGTGCAGCAGTTAGCAGACACTCATGGTCATTCCATAGGGTCTTTGAGCCTTCCGTCTGCAGTGTCATTCGTGTTACTGTGTTTGCTTCTGATATGTCCCCTTTGGCATTATTGGACAACCACACAGGTGACGGGCGGGCAGCTCTCCATTTACAGCGTTGGGACAGGTTTAGCCTGTAGTGGTGTGGCCGTATAGGAATAAGGGAGAAGTAGACCTGTTTCCGAGAGGCATTTAATGGGACCGCAGTAGACTAATGAAAGTTTAGGCTGCATGGACTTCTCTGTCAGATTAAAGTAATTAATGATGAATTTCTTAGCAGAGGTAGTTCTACCAGCAGGTTCTCCAAGTAGAGGTGAGGTGTTCTCTTATAGTCAGAAACACAACCTGGGCTCCTCATAAGGCAGTGACATGCTTACTCTTCCTCTAATTGATTGTCAGAGTATAGGAATCTATTCTTTTTTTTTTTTTATCCTCACGCGAGGACATGCTTATTAATTTTAGAGAAAGGGAAGGGAGGAAGAGAAACTTCGATGCGAGAGAGAAACATAAATCAGCTGCCTCTGGTACATTCCCCAACTGGGGACTGAACCTGCAACTTAGGCATGTGCCCTGACATGGAATCTAACACACAACCTTTTGGTGTAAGGGGCAACGCTCCAACCAACTGAGCCACACCAGCCAGGGTGTAGATCTGTTCCTAAATGGAAACACATACAGGATTTCTTCATTCGGGGGAGTATAACTTTGTGCTGCTCTTTAGGACCTGGGAAACACTAACATATGAGAAATTATTTAAATGATCATGGTTCCCAGTTTTTGGTTGGTCATAAGTGAAAAGGATTTGAGGTTTTGAACTTGAAAAGTCTTCTCTGATGTTTAGAGATCTGTAAACAGAGATGAAGAACCTGGCACACACACAGGTGAATTATTCAGCGACTCACCTAAAACAGCAGTGTGAATAGTAAGCCAAGAGTTCCTGGATCTCTGGGAAAAGCTTGTGAATCTGAAGAAAAATATTGATTGTACTATCTGGCTGGGGTGGAACATGAAGTACTTGTTAGGGTTAGTGCCAGGTGTGTAGCAGCTGAGACCTGGATGCAAAGTGCGCTTCAAGTTTTTCAGGTTTCTTCCTTTAATGGGGTCCTGGAAGTAGTTAAGTATTACAGAAAATAAAAGATATATCTTGACTGAAGTTTATTTTTGCTTTTCATCGTAGCTCACCCTGCCCCCAACCCTGTCACACACTGTATGTGCACCAAAGAATGAGTTGTGAAACCAGCGTTTGTTTTGTTAAGTTCAGTGGCAGCACCAAAGCGACACTCAGCAGCCGTACCCTGCCCCGTTTATTGGCCATGGTGTGCATTGTGTAATTTCCATCACCTTGACATGCCAGGTGCTTCTGAAAAGGGTGTTCAGGCTCCAGAGTCAAAAACAAGCACACAGGCAAACTTTCCAGTGAATTCAACACCTAATATAGTCATCCCTACTGTACTCTTCATTCGTACTTGCTGACAGGTGGATTTAGCAGTAATCTTAAATCACTTTGAGTATTCCTTCAGTTTGCGCAATAATTTCAGACTCTCTATTCAGGAACGGTTTTTATGTTTTCATGAAAGTATTCCCTTAGCTGTGCTTCGTGTGGCTAAGCTATCAGTATAGTGGGAGACCTAGAATTAGGACGTGAGTCTCCCGAGGGCTGGGATTGGCTCTCAAGGCACATAGTTTGTCTCTGGACCGCTTCTCGACTGCCGAACAAGAAAAGACGATTTGCAAAGTGGCAATTTTATTATAAATATAATTTCTTTCATTTGACAATATAACAGACATGTTGGAGTCTCAGTAGTTCCACAGATGAAACTTATTCTTTTTGAATGTATACTGTTTAGTTGAAAACTTAGCAGAAACTTTTTCTGCTAGAAATCAAAGATCACCAGATGTAATAAACTTGTATATAGTTTTGTTTGCAAAATGCTTAACACATTTAGAGGTCATAGAAAGTTTCATTTTTTTTCCCTTAAATTTTCATACTTC